CCATTGTTAGGCTGATGGTCCTTCTTGAGCATGTGATCAGCTGGTTTTGGTTGTCAGCAGCAAAACTGGTTGATCCACTCTGAGAAGGTGCTATTTAAGAGACTGAGCTGAATACAACACCTCAGACTGAAGAAGTCTCTTGGACGAGAGACGAAACGTTTCTACATTTTTTGTTGTTTTGCTTTGTTTTGGGTTTTTTTGAATGTCCAGAGGACCAGATTTAACTTTTTTAGATTTTTCTACCTGGATTATTGAGCATGCATCAGGATATAAAGTCCAGTTGTTTTTGTCTTGAACTTTTTTTGAATTTGTCATTATAGCCACGTTTACCTATTACATGATACAACAGCATGCCGTACTGCTACTACTACTTTGCTGCCATCTAGTGGCTGAAAATGATACTGTTTAATTTTTTTTTAGTCAGAATAAATGAAAAGGGTCATGTCTCAGCCAAAAATTGGTTTATAAATATGGGAAAAATTCCATAAATATGTCACTTTGGCCAATACAGTAAGTCACAGTGCATGCAAATTATATAACAAAACCCTGTGACTTATAGGCCGAAAAATACGGTAGTTTATTTACAGTGAACGAATCACAAATCACGTTCACTCAGGCATAAATAGCAGTCCCTCCATGCCCACATGGCACATGCCACTATGTCATTCAGATTCAAAAATGAGTGAGTCACAGAAAGCAGAAGTTCCACTCCTGATCAACAAGCTCACGCTGAGTTTAACTGAACTGAGAAAGGAATGAATCAGGTAATGTGATTCAGTTCAGATTGTTCACTCCAAAGATTCCCTCATTTGAACAAATCATTCTCGAATGACACAAAACTAATTTGTCATCTGTTGCCAACTGTTCTGAGCCATTGTGTTTGTTTCTGTAGCCTGCTTACATGTGGACATTTTTTTAAATGCTAACTGTCTTGTGCAACTTCCAAATGTGTTTTTGTTCTTTACAACCAAACTAAACATTTTTTATCAGACAAGGTGAGAGGTGGGACTCTGCAGCAAGTCAACAAAACCAAACTCCACCCACCCACCCTCCATCATCACCGACTGTCTCAATGAGCTACATCACTAGTTTTCTAACAATTTCCTACAACTAAACAGTGACAAAACAGAAATCATTCTTGTCGGTACCAAAAACTCTCTTTCAAAATCAGAAAATCTTCTCATCCCCCTTAACAACTCCCTGATATCCCCCTCGCCTCAGATCAAGAGTCTTGGTGTCATCCTCGACACCACTCTCTCCTTCACTTCACACATCAACAACGTCACTCGGTCTGCCTATTTCCATCTCAGAAATATTAACCGTCTCTGCCCTTCTCTCACACCCCGCTCCATAGCCATCCTTGTTCACAGTCTTGTGACTTCTCGGATTGACTACTGCAACTCCCTTCTTTATGGCCTCCCCAACAAATCTCTCCAGAAGCTACAATTGGTCCAGAACTCAGCTGCCCGTGTCATCACTCAAACCTCCTCCTATAACCACATCACTCCAGTCCTGCAGCAGCTCCACTGGCTCCCGGTTAAATCACGTATCGTCTTCAAAATTCTTCTTCTCACTTTCAAAGCTATCCACAACCTTGCCCCTCCGTACCTATCTGACCTCCTACACATCTCCATCCCCTCTCGCTCTCTCAGATCCTCCTCTTCACTACACCTCCATGTACCCTCTGCCCGCCTCTCCACCATGGGGAGAAGGGCCTTCACCTGCTCTGCTCCTCATCTCTGGAACTCTCTACCCCCTGACTTAAGAAACACCACCTCTCTTTCTATATTCAAGACTGCTCTGAAAACACATCTCTTTAGACTCGCTTATCCATAACTTTGCTGTATGTATTTTATATTCTTTATGTAATTTATTTCTGTTGATCTTTGTTCTTACTGTAAAGTGTCCTTGGGTGTCATGAAAGGTGCTTTTTAAATAAAATTATTATTATTATTATTAATATTATATAAGTCCACCCAGTATCGACACATCTCTTTTGGGGTAGTTAAAATATCCTCCGATAAATTTTTGCAAAGACTCTCAAAGCAGAGCATGACATATAGAGCTAATATAAACACTGAACGTATCAGGATAGAGGTAAAAAAAGAAATTACTGAGAGGAATGCATTATTTTAACAAATACGGGATAAGAAAAATAATTTTCATGGATTTTCCCAATTGTCTACGTTGTGCAATAAAATTATTGTGAGGCTGAAGGAGCATTAGAAAAAAATTTGGAGAAAATAAAATAAAATTAGGACATTTTTGTCAGAAAAAAATATTGATAATATTTATTGACTGCACCAAAACAAATAAATAACTACACAGACAAAATTAAACATGTGGCTGATTTTTCCTCACTAGGTCTTCCAAGGGTTGAGAAAAAAAATTACATTCAATTCAATTCAAAAATACTTTATTAAACCCAAAAATAAATTATTTGTTGTTGTAACTCGTTGCCCTCATTTCATTAAGAGATGTTCTAGATGCTGATGCTGTAGGCAGGAAGGATCTCTTGTAAAGGTCCATCCCACAGTGGATCCTAAGAAACTGGCTGCAGATGCCGTCCGATCCGTCCACCCAGACTCGGCTGGCCTCTCGGTTCCCCCGGGCTGTAGGACCGCCTGAATGCTGGGCAGAACTCCTCCCAGAGCGATGGCCACTCCTCCCAGCAGTCTGTCGAGCTCCTCATCGCTGTGGACAGCCAACTGTAGGTGCTGAGGGACAATCCTGTCCTTCCGCTGTCATGAGCCGTGTTTCCTGCTAGTTCCAGGATCTCAGTGGTCAGGCACTCGAGCACAGCTGGCAGGTAGATGAGAATGCGTCCACAGAACATCCTTTTCAACTCATTTGAGAGTTGGGGCCATAGTTGAGATATTATTTGAGCTTTGGAGATGTTATTCAGCTGCTGTTGTTGTAGAAAACCGCCTTGTTGCCATGGTTACGCATCAAAATAAATGTCCAAATCTAAAAAAGTTTCCGTAAAAATCCTTCCAGCTGCACAGCATTCGATACGAGAGCAAACATACAAAAAATGTGATTTACATCCAGAAAAAGAGGAATTAAAGTTTCCAAAAGCAAAATCTCAGAATGAAAGTAACAGAGCTGCTCCAACATGCAGCCACATTGAGCGGCACAATTCTAGAACCCTTCCTGTGTTGATGAGATCTCACACTGATTCGATGGAGGGATGAATCCCTGGTTACTCACCTTGAGGAAGACTCCAATCACAGCAAGTCCGTCAGGCTTATCAGCAGCCTCTGCAAAGCTGGGATATTTGTTATTCCAGTGCACTAGGTGAAGCTAAGACAAAGAGATGAAGAAACTATCAGGAAACTGAATTCTGCCTTGGAAGTTAGCAGAAGTGGATGGATTTTTAAAGGATTATTTTAAAGGTTACAGTATGAAAAGAACACAAACTGTTAGGATCTTTAGTAATCCCATCTGACATTCTCCTGTTGGTATTTAATTCCTGATTTGTTAGCTCATTATTTGTACTTAGACCACTCATGCTAACCATGCATTCATACAAAATGTTGAGTTCTTGCTTTTTGTTTTACTGTTATGAACCCTAATTTAGAAACCCAAGAGCTCCAGGGACTCAAGTACCTCACATGGGAACTTCATGCCGTTGACGTAGTGTTCAGAGCCTTTATCATCACTGCTTCCCCAGTGAAAATGAAACTGCCTGAAACGGTACGTTCCAGACAGGGGACCCCCGGTGAGAACTGTGTGAAACAACACAACAGATATTAGACATGGTCTCCTTCAATTTTAGGTCTTTGTTCATTTCTGAGGTTAGGTTGTCCATGGATGCTCTCTGTTATTGCTGCTTATACTACTCATAAGATCCCCAAAATCTGTTAAACTGGTGGAACCATATTTTATGTTGTTTGCATAGAAAAATATGATGTGAAATGTGATCCATTATTACTGCTGTGCCCTGTTCTCTCACTGTCCACGGTGGCTGAAAAGGTACTAAGTACTGATAATGTAACCAAAGCTAGATAATACTGCATCAGTGAAAGCAAAATTTCAAGTGTTGCTCCTCCTTTGACGTCAAAGCCCAAGTCAAACTTTATAATCTCTGTTAATTTGCTCAATTCTTTGTGTGTGCTGTCATTTATTGTGTTTGTGAAGTGCCAGTAACAACCTTTCCCCCTAAACTCCACACACAACAGAACCACTCACTCAGCTCGTCAAGCAGTAAAACCACAATAGAACCAATGTGTTGCATGGTGACACTGAGGCCCAGTTTACATGTGAATAATATTGTTTTTTGATGTTGACTGTAAAAAAGTCACACATTCACAAGGTAATGTCCTGATTGCAATAGCTTAGACAAGACCACAAAAGACGTTTAACCCACGGTAGTTTCCATGCCAGGTCAATAGTTCGTGTTCTGATTTTTGTGTCTCCACTCATCTAGTAGACTACATGTATGCTTCATGTCAGAAGTTCCGATAAATTCAAGAGTGAGCAGCACAACACAAATAGTACTCTGCCATTATTACTATCATTAAGCTACTCATGCAAGTGCAGAAAAACATTTGACTGGCTGCAACCCTAATGTGTATGTGTGAACACCATCGCTTTTAGCTAAATTGCAGTTTCCTGTGGAACGATGCCTAGTTTCAAAAAACTTCCATTCTGAAACCTGGAATCAAAAAAATTTGGTGACAAAAAAATCCAATCACATTTCTTGTGAAGTAGAGCGACCAAAATGGAACATAATTGTTCAGATTTAATTTACAAACAGTGTTGGGTGAACTGGGCCATCAGTTTCAGGCATGAAAGTGTAAAATAATTATCTAATCAGAAAAGATAAAAAAAAAAAAAAAACTTGACCAGCATTAGAGCGGTTGCCGCCTCACTTGGTGGCACAACGTTGCAGAAGTGGTAGGTTGGTTTCAAACACCATGTGCTGCCTTGGTTCTTTCAGAAATCACACCAAGGTGGCTACAAGGCCTCCAAAGTGAGTACCCTCACTCTTTCAGGTAACATTTTGTGACAAAATATGTAATATTGTTCTGAATATGAAGTAATAAAATTAATTTAGAAGTGATTAAATCTCTGGTAAAAATTTATAAGGAATGTCAGTATAATTAGCGCACCTCTTACTTTCTCTGGTAATATGGCAGGATAAACATTTAGCTGCTCTCTGGTTGACTTTTACTTATTAGGATGGCAGCCTGCCATCGCTCAATATGCTGTCTGCAAGGCCAGTGACAGCTGGTGTTGCCACATTGCTCTGATAGGGTTCTTGCACCTTTACTTCCCTGCTGTTCTGTCCTACAGGTAGTGATGGGCATTGCAGCCTCATGAAACTCTGAAACTCTTCAAATTGTGCCAAAACAAGATCCAAATCTTTGAGGCTTCAGTCTGACCAAGAACAAGGACATTTGGTGGCCAACTGATCATTTCAGTCCAATGGCATCAATAAATGTTGACCAAAAACTGTGTGGCTCTTTTAATCGGTTGATATTTTTGAAATATTTTTACATGTGCACTGAACTTTATAAAAACAAAACATTTTCTTTGCATGGATGGAAAATCAACTTTAGCCTTTTGTGGTATAAAAAAAATGTTGTGTTTTGATAGTTAATGAGTACCGGTACTCTGATTTTAAACATAAAATCTGTGAAACTCCCAGGGTGGTATGGCTTTTTATCTACTTAAAGATCCTGGTACCTCGAACTAACCTGCTTTTTAAAAATTGTTATTGGGGATTGGTTGGTGGCCACCATCACAAACAGACTTCTGCAACTGCCCTGCCCCGCTCTTTTGTCTCTGCTTTCTGCAGTAATGCCATAAATCATGATATTAGTGCAAAATGTACCTGTCTTCAGTAGTTATGGTCAATTTTCTATTCTGACAAATAAATTTTCCTTGTATACTGTTTCTTTTTTATACTTGATGTTATTGCTATTTTTGGGTGTAACTGGGACCTTGAGTACACAATTTTGTTCCAGCTCATGTACTACATGTGATGTGAATGACAATAAAGTCACATTGAACCTTGAACCTTAACACCACAGTCCCATCCCAAGATGGCTTCAAAAAGATAAAACACTATAAATATATGGCAATAATTTATTATTAAAATGATCTATGATGCAATGGGAAAAAAATCTATGCTGCAATGGATAGACATATACAGAATTATTGTTTTATTATTATTATTGGACTTATACAAACCACTTAGGACCATTAATCTTGATATTCTAATTTATAACTTACATTATAACATCAGGAGCCTAATGTTAGATTGGTTCAGAAGTTATTATTTTAGAAGATATTATGTGTTTATACATTTGACAACAAATCATTCAAATCCATCAATCATGTGATCGTCCAAACGTTCTTTACTACTTTATTATTTCTTTGTCTGTACAACAAAACAAAATGTGCCAGTGATACAAATTTGGGTTTTCATGAGCAACCCTGAGATATCAAAGGCCCCCATGTGTGGCCCACCCCCTCTAGAGGCACCCCTTGAAAATAGTGCTGAGTGGGATTTTTTTATTTTAAGACATTTCAACATTCATTTAATTTTTGACATTTTTAAAAAGTATGTTTTACAATTGGCTATGCTTTAGTCATTAATACCCAATGCAATGTTATATTTCATAGACATATGGTTTTGTGTGTAAAATAAAGGGTGTGTCTGTGCTGGGCTAGCAGACAGCACATGCCTGTGGACCTCTAGATAAAAATAAAAAAACAGCACTGATAAGAAATAACTGGCCATTTACATCATCAGTCACTCTTATCTGTGTTAACTCACCAAGAGAGGGTAGAGACACAACTATGACAAAGTCCAACATGGTTATGTGTATTACAAAAAAATACAAGTATATAATAAAAGTCAGAATATTGGGTTAACTGTTTGTCTTTGATTCAGGGGGAATGCTACATTTTATCATAAATAATACACATACATACATATATATATGTGTGTGTGTGTGTGTGTGTGTGTATATATATATATATATATATAATATATATATATAAATATATATATATAATATATATATAATATATAAAATATATGTATAATCGCA